TTTTTTTTTTTTAAGATTTATTTATTATGTATACAGAGTTCTGCCTGCATGTCTGCCTACACACCAGAAGAGGGCACCAGATCTCATTATAGATGATTGTGAGCCACCATGTGGTTGCTAGGAATTGAACTCAGGACCTCTGGAAGAGCAGTCAGTGCTCTTAACCTCTGAGCCATCTCTCCAGCCCCCACCACGGTTTCTTTTTGTTTGTTTGTTTGTTTTGGGTTTTTTGAGACAGGGTTTCTCTGTGTAGTTTTGGTGCCTGTCCTGGATCTCACTTTGTAGACCAGGCTGGCCTCGAACTCACAAAGATCCACCTGGCTCTGCCTGCCAAGTACTGGGACTAAAGGCATGTGCCACCACCACCCAGCTCCAAGATTTCTTAAGCTATGGGTCACATAACTAAATGTGAGGATCACAAATGATTTGGCAATAGTAAAATGTTTCTGAAGATGTGATGACCAAACATTAATTCAAAATCAAGCACATAATGAATCTGAGATATTTCTGGCAGGGTTCACCCACGCTGTATGAGGCAACTTGGTTCTGAACACACAACATAAGCACCTTACACTGCCATTTCACCACACGATATACACAAATGCAGCCTGAAACATCTTGGTGCACATTCGAGACTGTGTATGCTAGGAACTGCGGGGGTTCTGTTGTATATACAAAGCTTGCTGCCCTTACAGAAACACAACGGTTTGATTATAGGAAACAGAGACTGAATATTCTCCTATTATTCCTCAGCATGGATCAAATTAGTCCTATCTGGGACCTGGAGAGATGGCTCGGCAGTTAAGAGCACAGAGTGCTCTACAGAGCACCCAAGTTCAACTCTCAGCATCCATATTGGGAGGCTCACAGCCAGCTCTAACTCCAGCTCCAGGGGATCTAACGCCCTCTTCTGGCCTCCACAGGTACCCACACACATCATGGTCAATGCATACACATCCACACATACATAAATAAAAACAAAATAATATCTTGGGCTGGGCATGTTGGCATATACCTTTATATCCCAGCACTTGGGAGGCAGAAAAAGGTGGATCTCTGTGAGTTCGAGGCCAGCCTAGTTTACAGAGCTAGTTCCAGGACAGCCAAGGTTACACATGGAAACCCTATGTTGAAAAACCGAAGAGAAGAAAAGAAAACTATTAAGGGGGAATTTCTGAGAGAAGCCTGGGAGGGAAGGTGTTTGGAGAAAGGCGGAGGGTTCCCAGGACCCTGTAATGACAGTGGTGAACCAGGGGCTCAGGTTCTAGCCTCCAGCATCTGTCACACTGCTGACTTCTTGGTCCTGGCCACACACGCAGAGGCAGGTGGACATCACCATGACCACTTTACAGGTGAAGCAGAAGGAAGACGTCAGATCACGGGGCAGAGTCAGAACTTAACCCAGGATGGGCCAAATCCACACACTACAAATGCGCACATCCAGCTGACCCACAAGAGTCAAGGGCATGGCTTTGATTCATGGACCACACCTACCTCTGAACCTCAATGCCTGATCCACCACCTCCCCCAGTGTCCCCACTGTCCCCTTAAAGTAGGGGAGGGCCAGAAAGGAGAGTGAGGATCTGGCTAAAGGAAGCAAAGTTGGGGCTGGAGAGATGGCTCGGCAGTTAAGAGCACTGGCTGCTCTTCCAGAGGACCAGGGTTCACTTCCCAGCACCTACATGGCAGCTCACAACTGTCTGTAAGTCCACTTCCAGAGATCCAACATCCTCACACAGACACACATGCAGGTGAAACACCAATGTATATAAATTAAAAATTAATTAATTTTTTCTGTTTTAAATTTTTTATTAATTTTTTAATTGAGAAAATTATTTAATTTTTTAAAAAAGAAAGCAAAGTTGGCAGCAGTCCTCAATCCCCAATTCCTAATAACCCCGAGCCTGTTCTGCAGAAAACAGAATATAATGGTCTGCAGGACCCTGGAGTGGATTCCAGGTCAGAGAGGTGGAAGTCAGGGGGACACAGACTTCAGCACAACCAGGACGTTCCCAAGGGAGGAAGAGTTTCCTCCCTAGGGAATGAGCTCTCCGCCACTTGACATATTGGAGGACTTCAGGGCTAAGGAGACTGAGGCTCTGGATCCTAAATCAGAACCGATGGGCAAGGGCTGGCAAAACGGCTCGCGGGTGAAGGTGCCGCTCGTGGGCCTGATGACCTGAGTTAGATCTGGGGTTCCTCAAGCTGGCAGGAGAGAACTGAGTCCCCAGAGTGGCCCTCTGACCTCTACACTTGTGTCTTGATATGTGCACTCTCACGAGTGTGCACACACACACACACACACACACACACACACTCGCAGATACACTGAAATAAATACATAAATGAAATTTAAATGTAAGAACTGGTGGCCATCTAGATTTCTTTCAACACTGAGAGTCAGTACTTCTATGCGAAAATCTGAATAGGCACTGGGCAAAGATGGATGAAAACCAGCGCAAAAGAATTGTGTCTGAATGTGGGAAGCCCAGGAGAGTCCTTCAGGCAGCCCGGTCTGCTGTCCAGCCCAAGAAAAGGCCTGCATTTCAACCACTGGCTACGCCCTTTGTGCCCCTCACCCACCCAACACACACACACACACACACACACTCTGGCTCTTGGCCTGTACTTTCTGCCTGTGCAAAAGACTAGAGATGGCAGCACCAGGCCATGCCCGGATGCCCTGCCTTCAGCCTGCACCTCTTCTTGGGCCGGGATGCATCAATAGTACCCATTCTTCACCCCTGTGGCTCTGCAGTGTCAGCTGCGGTTACCATGGCAACCCAGCAAAGGGGCAGAACTATTAGCAGTAAGGCCCTGGAAGCTGCAGATTAAGTTTCACTAGTAGACACTCACTTCTTTGGACCCTTATAAATACAAGGCACAGACACCGTTTTTGTGTCTGCAGTGACCTTCACGGCTATCACTAATCAACAACAGTAGTTTCCCACTGGCTCTGGGTTTGTCATTCTGCTGAGGTGACTCTCCAGGTACCCTCCACCTGGAAAACCCTGCCATAGCCTACGGCTGTGCTGAAGCAGGAGGTTGGACCACTTACTTCTTTGCTCTGGACCATGAGGATGTCTATGGACAGACCATGCCACAGAATATTAGCGCAAACCATTATCTGTAACACTCCACAGACTGAAAAACTAAAGCCCAGAGGCATTCTTCTCCAGCTCCCACTGGAAACGCAAATGGACTAAGGGAAAGATCGGAACCAGAACCCAGGCGGGCTGGGGAGACGGCTCAGTGGGTAAGGAACTTGCTACCAAGATGGATGGCCACCTGCACGGTGGGAGGGGAGAACTGATTCTGTCAAGTTGACCTCTGACCTCCACATGTGCACTATGGCATGTGTGAGTGTGCACACACGCATATGTACGCACACACGACATAAATAAATGTAAATTTAAAAATAAGCAGAAAACAAAACAAAACCGCCATGAGCTGTTCATGCCTGTAACCACAGCCGGTGGCAGAGGCAGGTGGACCTCTGTGAATCTGAGGACCTCCTGCTCTATGCAGTGAACTCCAGGCCAGACAGGGCTACAAATAACAGTCACAAAACAAAACAAAACAAAAAAACAAAAAAAACCAGATGGAGCTTTTTTTTTTTTTTTTTAAAGACAGAGTTACTCTGTATAGTCCTGGCTGTCCTGGAACTCCCTTTGTAGACCAGGCTGGCCTCGAACTCACAGAGATCTGCCTGCCTCTGCCTCCCAGTGCTGGGATTAAAGGTGTGCCTGGCTGACTATTCATAAGGAAGCACACATGACGTAAGCACCCCAGCATTCTAAGGAGGCCATGGAGACACGTGTTTGTTTGCTGGTTTCTGTCTGGAAGATGAGTCAGTGAGACTCAGGGTGAAGAAAGTCACCTCAGCTCACATAGCTCCATCTGCGTCCCATTCCCTGTGACCTAGACCCTGGAGGTCTGTCCACAAACTGTGACCAGCACCTCTGGAGTTACACTTTTCAATTTAAAAAGTTCTCCTATTCTGCCAGCAAGATCTAGAAAGGAGAAAAAGAAAGGGTCTCATAAATTCATTTGACCACCTCCTAAAACTGTGTACGGCTCTTCTGCCCAGCAAGCCTCAGACTCAAAGCATTCCTGGGTTCGTGGTCCCCCCCCCCAACCTTTCCCAGACCTCTAACCAACAACTGTGTGGAAGGTCACGGAAACCTTGCTGCTGCTCAGAATGAGTTCTGTGAGGTGGGGAATCCTGACTCCTTTGATCTCAGACTGATGTGCATGGGGGAGATTAAATTACATGTTCTAGATAGGAAACCTGGTCATTAAAGCAGGTTATTTGAATGCCCAGACCAAATTACACTAAACACACTTAGTAAATAATGTAGGAACTGCAAACAGTCCCAGCTGAAGTGAGTCTCTAGAGAGAGAGAGGAAGGAATAGAGAAGGGGGATTTTGTTTGTTTGTTTTTTTGAGACAGAGTTTCTCTGTGTAGCCCTGGCTGTCCTAGAACTCACTCTGTAGACCAGGCTGGCTTTAAACTCAGAGATCCGCCTTCCTCTGTCTCCCAACTGCTGGGATTAAAGATGTGAGCCACCACCGCCTGGATTTGAGAAGAGAGGAATTAAGCTTTTTTTTTTTTTTTTTGGTAGTGCTGGGGATCAAATCCAGGGTTTTGAGAATGTCAAGGAAGTGCTTTACCCCGGAGCTACAACCTCAGTCCTGGAGAGGAAATCTCAAGTCTCTAAAATATATATCAACAAACGACATTACATGAACTTTATTTGAGCCCTGATATTTTTAAAGATTTCTTTCTTATATATGCACATGGGTGTTTTGATGTCTATCACCACTTGCATGCAGTTTCCGAGGGGTCCAGAAGAGGGCATCTGATCCTCTGGAACTGGAGTCACAGAGGGTTGTGAGCCATGGTGTAGGGACGGGGAATTGAACCTAGATCCTCTGAAAGAGCAGCTAGTGCTCAACCATCTCTCCAGCCGGAGCCAGTTCTTAAAAATGAACTGTAATGCTCGCTTCGGCAGCACATAGACTAAAATTGGAACGATACAGTGAAGATCAGCATGGCCCCTGCGCAGGGACGACACGCAAAGCCGTGAAGCGTTCCATATTTAAAAAAGAAAGAAAGAGAAAGAGCTGCAGCTGGGTATGACGGCACACATCTATAATCTCCGTACTTGGGAAACTGAAACTGAGGTAGGAAGATAAAGTTCCCTGTCAAGGAGAGTCCCAGGCTAGTTTGGGCCAAATAGTGAAAGCCTGTCTCAGAGAGCAACTGAGGGCTGAGAAACAGCTCAGTCGGTAAAGAGCTCACCTCACAAGCGTGAGGATCTGAGTTCGAATCCCCAGAACCCATGTAAAAAGCTGAGCGTGAGTGGGTGGGGGTGGGGAGGGGTGGGTGAGGGTGAGGAGGGGTGGGTGGGGTGGAACCACAAAGCACACTCTGTTTAAAAATATCATAATGGAAGCCAGGTGATGAGGTGTATGTCTTTAATCCCAGCATTTGGGAGGCAGAGGCAGGAGAATCTCTGTGATTTTGATGCCAACCTGGTCTACATGGTGAGTTCTAGGACAGCCAGAGCTACATAGTGAGAGTCTGTCTAAAAAAAACAATAAATTATAATGGTATCATATAGAGTTTTTTAATTACACACACACACACACACACACACACACATTATAATGGTATCTAACACATTATATGCCATTTAAAAATTTTAATAAAAGCTGGGTATGGTAGTGCATGCCTGTAATCTTGGGGTAGTGAGATGGGAGGTAAAGACAGATCCCTGAAATCTAACAGGACAGCTAGCCCAGTCCACACAGTAAAGTTCCAGGCCAATGAGAGACTGCCTCAAACAAAAGGAAGACACTCGAGGACCAACACCCAAGGTTATCCTCCAACCTCCACACGTCATACCATCCACACATGTGCACACCATCATAAGAGCGTGTTCACTCATACACATCCACACACATAAAAGTAAAAGGTCTTAGGACAACACTGAGTAATTGACGATTTAGGGATATTGGGATCTTGTTGAAGTTTCGGGGACAATGATGATAACGTAGTTACAGAAACAGCATCCTTGCTGCTTAGAAAGGCATCCCTAACTACTGAAGGATGAAATGATAAGATGGGATCTGTTTCCAAATAAGACGAGTGATCCCAACATGGTGACATCTGCACTCCCAGGACTCAAAGGTAGAGGCAGTTGGAGCAGGAATCCAAAGCCATTGTTGAGTATGTAGTGAATTTGAGGCTAACCTGGGCTACATGAGACCCTGTCTCAAAAAAAAAAATAAAATAAAATAAAACAGAAGACAAATCAAAATAAACGAGAATTGGAGCCAGGCACAGTGGCACACGCCTTTGATTTCAGTCCTCGTGAAGCAGAGGCAGCCTGGTCTCCACAGCAAGCTCCAGGCTGGCCAGGGCTACCTATGAGACCCTGTCTAGAGAGAGAAGGGGCAGACAGGTGGTATGGACCAGAGAGGACTAGCAAGGGGTGGACGGAGTTTGCCAACTTAATGTTTCTGTGAATGTTTTAAGTTTCCCATAAAAAGTAACAGTTGAGCCAGGCAGTGATGGCGCACGCCTTTAATCCCAGCATTTGGAAGGCAGAGCCAGGTGGACCTCTGTGAGTTTGAGGCCAGCCTAGTCTATAGAGTGAGATCCAGGACAGGCACCAAAACTACACAAAGAAATCCTGTCTCAAAAAAAAACAAAAAAGAAAAAAAAAAGTAAAAGTAAAAGTTGGGGGCTGGAGAGATGGCTCAGTGGTTAAGAGTACTACTCTTCCAAAGGACCCAAGTTCAATTCCCAGCACCCACATGGCAGTTCACAGCTGTCTGTAGCTCCAATTCTAGGGGATCTGACACCTTTCATACAGACATACATGCAGGCAAAACACAGATGCACTAAAAATAAATTTTAAAAAAGGAAAAACTGGGGGGCTGTAAGGTGAAAGAATAAGACACTTGTTGAAACCAGTGAGTAAGCTAAGGGTAGGCTCAAAATTTTCTACAAAGCAAACAAGGAAGACAAAAGGGCTCTTGGGGAGAGCAGAACTGAGGGCTGGCTGCCCGAGTAACCTGAAACTCACTCAGCGCCTTCAATGCTGTATGTGAGCTGGCCCCTTTCAGCTTTCAGTAAGAGAGAATGGAGACTGGGAGATTCTGGGGCCCAGGCCTGGTGGGAGGGTCCCAGGGGAGACTAGGAGGGACCGAGGCAGCCCTTGGTAGAGGCGGTCAGTCAAGGAGTACAAGGTAGAGAGAGGAGACCGCTCCTTGCCTGGCCTAACCCTTCTCAGGCAGGGTGACTCTCACCCCAGTCCCTAGTCCCCCTGGGCTGCCGGCTCCGCCACCCAGTAAGAATGGCAGTCTCAACCACTCTCTTCTCAATGAACTGTGTAAGGCTGACCTGTGGCTCCTGTGCAAGTGAGCTGTGCTGTCCATGTTGGGCACTAGTTTTGCTCCTAATCCAGCAGATCCCAAGAGAAGCTTAGAGCCTAGAGAGCCCCTGCCTGGGTGGCTGGTACAGGAACAGAGAGGGTAAGGCTGAGCCTGGAAATGTTGCCAGCCTCATACTTCTGGGGTAACCCTAGCTTAGCTCCACTACCAGGGGTGGACTGAGGGCCCCTGGAAAACTGACCCGGGGGCATCACAGTCATGATGAGTTCCTGCCATCCTCAAGGTGTGTGTGTGTGGGGGGGGGGATGATGGAGGATGAGGCTCTGTCCCTGTCTCAGTGCTCACAGCTTAGGTAAAGACAGCACACCCGTGATGAGGTGCCGGCTAAGGGCTGAGGATGCTTGGCAAACCCAGGGCCAGAGCACAGAGCAGCCCTGGACCCACCTAGGGGAAGCGATGCATCTTAGATCCTAAGATGAGGAGCCACAGACTGAGCAAAGCAAGAGAGGACTCTAAGGAGGGTCAGGCACCCCTGCCAGATGCCTGGAGCAACAGCCCGAGGAGGTGTGAGCAGTCAGGCCCCCCAGAGCTGAGTCTCTGGCTGCACAGTGAAGACCCCCGGGAGGGTGAACGGCAGCGAGTGGACGTGTCTGTCCATCACTGCATGCCGGGCTTTATTGCCAGCACCAGGCCCACTCTGTATTTCCTGTGGAGTCCTTTCATCAAATGCAGGTTTTATAGATGAGGAAACTGGCCAGCTGGAAGTTATGGCATGTGCCCAAAGAAGGCCTGCAACCTAGACGCTTAGCCAGACAGGCAGATTCCAGGGGCCAAGCTTTAACAATCCCCTGGGTTTTACCCTACAAATCATGGAGCACCTAGAGGGTCTGAACATGGTCTTGGGGTAGAAAGTTGGGCTCCAGAGGGCAGCTGCAGCCAATGCCCAGGGAGGAGACAGGGAGTGCTGCCTTGTCCCTGGGGCTGGACGGGGTGACAGGAGTACAACCACTCAGGCCTGGAGCAGATTACCCAGGAGGAAGGACGCAGACTCCACACTAGCTGGAGAGCCCGCACCCTGTAAAATGGGCCACTGGCCCACTTGAGGGCTGTGGCTTTGGGGCAGGGGCTCTGCAGTGCCTCGCTCTATCAATCACACCCTGTAGGTAGTGATTAGTCTCCCCATTTCACAGAGGAAGGAGGGAGGGAGGCCAGGGAGGCTGGGCAAACGAGTTCAAGGTCTCTCACTTCCCCGCCCCAGCAAACCATGAGGCAAACCCACAGGGTAGGAGCCCCATCCTCTTCTTCTTCTTCCTTCCATCTCCTTTTGGGGGAGGGGATCTTTTATAGCTTAGGGATGACCTTGAACTTCTGACCACCCCCCCACCCCCCCACCCCCCCACCCCCGCCTTTACCTCCAGAGTGAACCCAAGGCTTCGAGCATTTGAGGAAAAGACCCTACTGGGCTTTTCTCTAGCCCTCTCCTCTCCCCTCCATCCCCTCCCCTTCTCTCCTTCTCTTCTCTCTCTCTTTTGAGCCGAAGTCATACTCTATAACCCAGACTGGCTTCACACTCATAGCAATCCTCCTGCCTCAGCCTTGCACATTCTGGGATAATCAGCCTGTGTCACCACACCCCCACACCGGATTTCCCAATCGTCTTTTCTGAAGAGCACCAACTCCCCTAACGGGGACGCCTTCAGAGGCAACACAGGAACACAGGGGACCAGCCTCCCAGTGCACGTGTTCAAAGCTGCATGACCAAGTGACTTGGACCGGAGGCTGGAGGGGGTGAGGTCCTGCCCCCTCTGTGTGCCCAGAGAAAGCTCCTTCTCCTTCTAAACCTCGGTTCCCTCATCTGCAGTTTAGATCCGACAGCTGTGAGTTCTTAGGCCCATTCCAAGGGATTCTTGGGACTCAGCTGAGTTCACGACGCCCTGCAAGGCTGCTCCAGCCTGGTCAGCCTCAGGACCACAAGCCCACCCGTGACTTCACCCAGTGTCCCTGTGTCCTGGGCCTGCATGTCCCGCTGAGCAGTCAGAGGTCCCTGAGGAGAGCGGAGTTCGACCCTCTGCCTCACAGGCCCCTATGAGATCCAGGTCTGGCCCGTAGGGCGGCTTTGCCCCGTCTCCCCCACGCCTGGGCCTCCCTCTTCAGAGCCCCAGAGCTGGCGGTGACAGGGAAAGCCTCCTGCTGGCTCTGCCCTTTATTATTTCAGGACTTGAGCGGCTTTCCTTCCTGCGAGTACGAGTACAGAGTCCGAGCCTGCCCTGTGCCCCCAGACACCCCAGGTGGGGCCTCCGCGGATGGTTCCTAGCCTGGGCAGCAGGCCAGCCGGGCCAACTCAGTCCCTCCACTGCCCCTTGAGGGGTAGCTGGAGGCGGAGAGGAAGAGGGTCTGCAGGAAAGGAGCCACACCCTCCCCCACACGGAGGCCTCAATAAACCCCAAGTTTCCTGGCTGGGATTTTCCTCAGGAGACTTCTCGGCAGTGATGAGCTAAGAGAGCAAGAACTTTGCTGGACCGGTGGCTGAAGATTCCCGAAGATTCCCAGCCGACCCCTGGCTGCCGGCCCTGGATTCCACCCAGGCGAGGGAGAGAGCCTGGCCTGCTGGACAGAACAGTAAGAGATCTGGAGCCTGGCGCCCTCTGGCCTCGACTGGTAGCCAGGACAACACCCACCCCTGCTCTTCATCAGGAGCCCCC